CAGTCTGCCAGTCTGCCATCTGCCATCATTCATTCTCCATCTGTCCAGTCCTGCATCATGTCATTCAGTCTGCCAGTCAGTCAGTCACCATCCGCAGTCAGCCAGTTCAGCCAGCCAGTCTGCCAGCCAGTCTGCCGTCACCAGCAGTCCTGCCACCCCCGCCGTCATGTCAGTCTTCCAGCCAGCCAGTCTGGCCAGCAGTCAGTCAGTCTGCCAGCCAGTCAGTCTGCCAGCCAGTCAGTCTGCCATCCAGCCACCAGCCAGCCAGCCAGCCACCAGCCACCAGCCACAGTCGCCAGTCACCCAGCAGTCAGCCAGTCAGCCAGCCAGCCATTCAGCAGCCAGTCATCCAGTCACCAGCCAGCCCAGTCAGCCATCACCAGCCAGCAGTTCATCCAGCATTCGCCAGTCAGTCAGCCAGTCAGTCAGTCATCAGTCCCAGTCGCCAGTCTGCAGTCAGTCAGTCAGTCTGCCAGCATTCAGTCAGTCAGTCTGCCAGTCAGTCTCATCAGTCTTGCCATCACCATCCCCAGTCAGTCAGCCAGTCCAGTCAGTCTGCCAGTCAGTCAGTCCCTGCCAGTCATCAGTCTGCCAGTCAGTCGTACTGTCCAGTCAGTCAGTCTGCAGTCCTGCCAGTCTGCCAGTTTCACCATTCTGCCAGTTTCTTCCATCTGCCAGTCCTGCAGCGCCAGTCTGCCATCTGCCAGTCAGCCATCTGCCAGTTCTGCCAGTCTCCAGTCAGCCATCAGCCAGTCAGCCAGTCAGTCAGTCTGCCAGTCAGCCTGTCGGCCAGTCAGTCCATCAGTCTGCCATCTGCCATCTGCAGTCAGCAGTCGTCTGCATTCAGTCAGCCAGTCTGTTGCCCTTCAGCCATTCCGTCGCCAGTCACCAGTCATTCTGCCATCATTCAGCCATCTGCCAGTCACCATTCATTCTGCCAGTCTGCCAGTCTGCCAGTCCGTCAGTCTGCCCAGTCTGCCATTCTGCCCAGTCGTCAGTCATGTCTGCCCGTCAGTCATCTGCAGTCTGCCAGTCGCAGTCCAGCCAGTCAGCCAGTCAGCCAGTCAGCCAGTCAGCCAGTCAGCCAGTCAGCCAGTCAGCCAGCCAGTCTTCCAGCAGTCTTCAGTCAGCCAGCCCTTCAGCCAGCCAGTCTGCCAGCCACAGTCGCCAGCCAGCCAGTCTGCCAGCCAGCCAGTCTGCCAGCCAGTCATCAGTCTGCCAGCCAGCCTCGCACCAGTCAGTCTTCTGCCGCCAGTCAGTCTGCCAGAGTCAGTCTGCCATCCAGCCGCCAGCCCTCCATCCAGCCAGCCAGCCAGGCCAGCCGCCAGCCAGCCAGCCACCGTCCGCCAGCCAGTCGCCAGTCACAGCCAGCCAGTCGCCAGCCAGTCACCAGTCAGCCATCAGCCTTCAGCCCTCCGCCCGCCAGCTCAGTCATGCAGCCAGTCGAGCCCTTCAGTCATCCAGTCATTCCGTCATTCGTTCAGTCCAGCCAGTCCTGCGCAGTCAGTCAGTCAGTCTGCCAGTTCCAGTCAGTCCGTCAGTCTGCCAAGTCATCAGTCAGTCAGTCTGCCAGTCCACCAGTCCAGTCAGTCATCCAGTCAGTCCCAGTCGGCCCAGTCCATCAGTCTGCCAGTCCGTCAGTCCCTTCCATTCAGTCAGTCTTCCAGTCTCAGTCTGCCAGTCCAGTTCGAGTCGCCAGTCCAGTCATCTGCCGTCATCAGTCTGCAGTCCAGTCTTCAGCCAGTCATCCATCCAATCAGTCAGCCAGCCAGCCAGCCAGCCAGCCAGCCAGCCACCAGCCCCAGCCAGCCCTCCAGTCAGTCTGCCAGTCTTGCCAGTCATCAGCCAGCCAGTCATCTGCCAGTCCAGCCCGCCATCTGCAGTCCAGTCAGTCATCCTGCCAGTCCTGCCAGTCCTGCCATTCTGCCATCTGCCATAGTCTGCCAGTCCGTCTTGCAGCAGTCCTGCCAGTCAGTCTGCCAGTCTGCCAGGCTGCCAGTCTGCCAGTCTGCCAGTCAGGAATTATGTAGAGGAAAGAAGGGGACGCCTTCTGCTCCCTTCCTGCCCTTCCTTCCCTTCTTCCCTTCTGCCAGTCTGCCAGTCGCCAGTCTGCCAGTCAGCCATTCAGCCAGTCTGCCGGCTGCCCAGTCTGCCATTCTGCCATTCGCATCGCCAGTCTGCCAGTCTGCCAGTCGCCATTCTCCATCATCCACAGCCGTCCTGCCATCTGCCAGTCAGCCCAGTCAGCCAGTCTGCCAGTTCCCTGCCATTCTGCCAGTCTGCCAGTCAGCCAGTCTGCCATCTGCCAGTCTGCCCTTCTGACCATTCAGCCAGTCTGCCAGTCACCAGTCAGCCATCCATCAGCCAGTCAGTCAGCCTCCGTCATTCATCAGTCAGTCGCGTTCTGCCAGTCCAGTCAGTCATCCTGCCAGTCAATCATCGTCAGTCTGCCAGTCAGTCAGTTCATCAGTCTGCCAGTCCATCTGCAGTCATCATCCCTGCCAGTCAGTCTGCCCAGTCAGTCGTCCTGCCAGTCAGATCTGCCTGCCAGTCCAGTTTTCTGTCTGCCATTCGTCAGTCATCCATCAGTCAGTCTGCCAGTCAAGTCAAGTCCTGCATCCGTCATTCCTGCCATCAGTCAGTCTGCAGCATCAGTCTGCCATCAGTCAGTCTGCCAGTCATCGTGTGCCATCATCAGTCTGCCATCCAGTTCAGTCAGCCCTCATTCCCAGTCAGCCAGTCAGTCAGTCTGCCAGTCAGTCAGTCCGGCCAGTCATTCAGTCGCCAGTCAGTCATCCAGCCAGTCATGTCATCGTCCAGTCAGTCGGCCAGCCATCAGTCCAGTCTGCCAGTCAAGTCTTGCATCCAGTTCAGTCAGTCTGCAGTCAGTCTGCCAGCCGTCAGTCAGCCCTCATTCATCCATCAGTCGGCCAGTCAGTCTGGTCAGTGTCCATCAGCCATTCAGTCTGCCAGTCCAGTCGCCAGTCATCTGCCAGCAGTCTGCCGTCAGTCTTCCATTCATTCGTCCAGTCAGTCCTGCCATCAGTCTTCCAGTCGTCTGCCATCATCTGCCAGTCCTGCCATCCAGTCTGCCAGTCTTCCTGCCAGTCTGCCTGCCAGTCGTCTGCCTGCCAGGCTGCCTGCCAGTTCACCTCCAGTCAGTCTGCCTCCATTCTGCTGCCAGTCCAGTCATCTCCAGCCAGTCCTGCTGCCAGTCAGTCAGTCTGCCAGTCTGCCAGTCGTCATTCTTTCTGCCAGTCTGCCAGTCAGTCGTCATATCGTCAGTTCTGCAGTCCAGTTCAGATTCCATCTGCCCCAGTCTGCCAGTCTGCAGTCTGCCAGTCCGGTCTGCCAGTCTGCCGTCAGTCTGCCAGTCTGCCAGTCGGCCAGTCTGCCAGTCTGCCAGTCTGCCAGTCTGCCAGTCTGCAGTCTCCAGTCTGCCAGTTCCAGGCCATCTGCCATTCGGCCAGTCTGCCAGTCTGCAGTCTGCCAGTCAGCCAGTCCTGCCATTCTGCAGTCTGCCAGTCAGGCCAGTCCGCCAGTCAGCCATCAGTCAGTCTGCCAGTCAGCCCTGTCTGCCGTCAGTCAGTCAGTCTGCCCAGTCTGCCAGTCTGCCAGTCAGCCAGTCATTCTGCCAGTCATTGCAGCCAGTCCTGTCCAGTCATCAGTAGTCTGCCAGTCAGCCAGTCAGTCTGCGCCAGTCAGTCAGCAGTCTGCCAGTCAGCCAGTCAGTCTGCCAGTCGCCATTCCTGCCAGTCAGTCAGTCTGCCAGTCTGCCAGTCTGCAGTCAGTCATCCGGTCTGCCAGTCAGTCAGTCTTCCAGTCTGCCAGTCAGCCAGTCAGCCAGTGCAGCCAGTCAGCCAGCCAGTCTTGCCAGCCATCTGCCAGTCAGCCAGCACGTCAGCCACCAGTCTGCCAGCCAGCATTCTGCCACCGTCCAGTCCTCTCCAGCCAGCCCAGTCTGCCAGTCCAGTTCATCAGTCGCCAGCCGTCAGTCTGCCAGCCAGTCATTCTGCCAGCCAGCCGCCAGCCACCAGCCACCAGCCAGCCATCCACCAGTCCCCCAGCCAGGCAGCCGTCACCATCCGCCGTCAGCAGCCAGTCATCCATCAGCCAGTCAGCCATTCGAGCAGCCAGCCAGTCACCACCCGTCCAGCCAGTCAGTCAGCCATCAGTCCGTCAGTCAGTCAGTCAGCCAGTCTGCCAGTCAGTCCAGTCCGTTTTCTCCGTCAGCATTCAGTCAGTCTGCCAGTCCAGTCAGTCATTCAGTCTGTCCCATTCAGCCAGTCATCGTCAGCCAGCAGTCGTTCCCCCTTTGCCGTCGTCATTCTGCCGGTCAGTCAGTTTCTTCCATCGTCCCGTCTTTCCAGTCCTTCAGTCCTGCAGTCTGCCAGTCTGCCATTCAGCCAGTCTGCCATCTGCCAGCTGCCAGTCTGCAGTCGCCGTCAGCCAGTCCCTGCCAGTCGCCTGTCATCCAGTCGGCCAGTGCCAGTCTGCAGTCAGCCAGTCAGCCAGTCAGCCAGTCAGTCAGTCTGCCAGTCAGCCTGTCTGCAGTCAGTCGTCAGTCCTTCCAGTCTGCCAGTCTGCCAGTCAGCAGTCAGTCTCCAGTCATCAGCCCAGTCTGCCAGTCATCCAGTCAGTCTTGCCAGATCAGCCAGTCCAGTCTGCCATCAGTCACCAGTCTGCCAGTCAGCCAGTCAGTCGCCGTCCTGCCAGTCTGCCAGTCTTGCATCTTCCAGTCGCCAGTCCCCCTGCCATCAGTCATCATTCTTCCATCAGTCAGTCTGCCAGTCTGCAGTCAGCCAGTCCAGCCAGTCAGCCAGTCAGCCTTCGCCAGCCAGTCTGCAGCATTCTGCCAGTCAGCCACAGTCAGCCAGCCAGTCTGGCCAGCCAGCCAGTCTGCCAGCCAGCCGTCTGCCAGCCATCCGTCTGCCAGCACATCGTCATCTGCCAGCCAGCCAGTCTGCCAGCCAGTCAGTCTGCAGCCAGTCAGTCTGCCAGCCAGTCCAGTCTGCACCAGCCAGCCAGCCATCCAGCCATCCACCAGCCAGCCAGCCACCACCAGCCAGTCAGCCAGCCAGTCAGCCAGTCATCCAGCCAGCCATTCAGCCATCCGTCGCCGTCAGCCAGCCATGCCAGTCTCCAGTCAGCCAGCCAGCCAGTCAGCCAGCCAGTCAAAGCCAGTCCAGTCAGCCAGTCAGTCCGTCAGTCGTCAGTAGCATCTGCCAGTTTTTTTTTCCCCCCCCCCCCCCCCCCCAGGGGTCATCCAGTCTGCCAATTATTCAGTCGTCAGTCTGCCAGTCAGTCCATTCAGTCATTCTGCAGTCAGCCAGTCCATTCGCAGCCAGTCGTAAGTCTGCCATTCAGTCAGTCTCCATCATCCCTCTGGCAAGTCAGTTCAGTCTGCCAGTCAGTCAGTCTGCCAGTCAGTCAGTCTTCCAATCAGTCATCTGCCGTCGTTCAGTCTGCCATCAGTCAGTCTGGCCAGTCATTCCATCGTCAGCCAGTCAGCCAGCCAGTAGTCAGCCAGGCCAGCCAGCCAGCCATCCAGCCAGCCAGCCCAGCCAGCCAGCCGCCAGCCAGGCATCAGCCAGCCCAGCCGTCTGCCAGTCTGCCAGCCAGCCACCCGCCAGTCAGTCCTGCCATCTGCCAGTCGCCAGCCAGCCGTCAGTCTGCCAGTCTGCCATCAGCCAGCCATCCAGTCAGTCTGCAAGGCAGCAAGCCACTGCCAGTCAGTCAGTCAGTCTGGCCGTCCTGCCAGTCTGCCATCTGCCGTCAGTCTGCCAGTCAGTCTGCCAGTAGTCTGCCATCATCTGCGCTTGCCCAGTCTGCCAGTCTGGCCAGTCAGCCGTCTGTCAGCGGGTCATGTCAGCCAGTCAGTCAGATCGTCAGTCAGTGTGCCCAGTCAGCCAGCCATTCTGCCAGCCATTCTGGCCAGTCTGCATCAGTCAGAGTCATTCTTGCCAGTCTGCCAGTTCAGTCCTGTCAGTCCTGTCATTCAGGAGTCATCATTCAGTCCGGCAGTCATTCAGTCAGTCTGCCCAGTCTGTCAGTCTGGGTCTGCCAGTCATTCTGCCAGTCTGCCAGTCATCCTGCCCGTCTGCCAGTTCTGCCATCTGCCATTCTGCCAGTCTGCCATTCAGCCAGTCATCCGTTCAGCCAGTCATCCAGTCAGCCAGTCTGCCAGTCTGCCCGTCTGCCAGTCTCCATTCTGCCAGTCCTGCCGTCAGCCATCAGCCAGTCAGCCAGTCCGTCTGCAGTCGCCAGTCAGTCTGCCAGTCTGCCGTCCTGCCAGTCTGCAGTCTGCCTTCAGCTGCCAGTCCTGCCGCCAGTCTGCCATTCCCTGCCAGCCATTCAAGCCAATCAGCCCAGTCAGCCGTCAGCCATCAGCCAGTCAGCAGGCTGCCAGTCTGCCAGTCGCCATTCTGCCCAGCCCCCCACCCTGCCAGTCATAGCCAGTCTCGTCTGTGCCAGTCAGTCAGCCAGCTGCCAGTCTGCCAGTCAGTCAGCCGTCCTGCCAGTCGCCAGTCAGTTCAGCCAGTCTGCCAGCTGCCATTCAGTCAGCCAGTCTGCCATCAGGTCAGCCGTCTGCCAGTCTGCCAGTCAGTCATCCCGTCTGCCAGTCTGCCAGTCAGTCATCCAGTCTGCCAGTCGTCATCAGTTCATTCAGTCGCAGTCTTGCCAGTCTGCCATCAGTCTGCCAGTCGGCCAGTCGGCCATCTGCCAGTCTGCAGTCTGCCAGTCTGCCAGTCTGCCATCTGCCAGTCAGCCAGTCAGCCATCATCCCGTCAGCCAGTCCTGCCGTCTGCAATCGCCATTCTGCCAGTCACCAGTCAGCCAGTCTGCCAGTCTGCCAGTCTTCATCTGCAGTCCGCCATCTGCCCGCTTCCATGTCTGCCTTCTGCCCGTCACCAGTCGGCCAGTCTGCCAGTCCTGCCAGTCTGCCAGTCCTGCAGCAGGCCAGTCTGCCGTCTGCCAGTCAGCATCTGCCAGTCTGCCCAGTCTGCCCAGTCGCCAGTCACCAGTCCTCCAGTCAGTCAGGTCTGCCAGTCAGCCTGTCTGCCAGTCATCAGTGCAGTCTTCCATCTGCCAGTCAGCCAGTGCAGTCTTCCATTCAGGTCAGCCATTAGTCTGCCATCATGCCCGTCAGTCTTCCAGTCCCAGTCAGTCTGCCAGTCATCACCATGTCTGCCAGTCAATCCAGTCAGTCTGCCATCGTCCATTCTGCCATCAGTCAGTCCCAGTCTGCCATTCTGCCAGTCAGTCAGTCATCTGCCAGTCAGTCGTCTGGCCAGTCTGCCAGTCAGCCAGGTCCGCCAGTCAGCCATCAGCCAGCCATCCTGGCCACCAGTCTGCCATCAGCCAGCCAGTCAGCCAGCCAGTCTGCCAGCCACCCAGTCTGCAGCCAGCCATCGCAGCCAGCCAGTCTGCCAGCCAGTCAGTCAGTCTGCCAGCCGCCAGTCTGGCCCAGCCAGTCAGTCAGTCTGCCACCCAGTCAGTCCTGGCAGCGTCCAGTCTGGCAGCCATCCAATCCAGCCAGCCAGCCAGCCAGCCAGCCACCATACAGCCAGCCAGTCGCCCGTCAGCCACCAGCCAGTGCAGCCAGCCAGTCATCCATCAGCCAGCCAGCCAGTCAGCCAGTTCAGCAGCCAGCCATCAGCCATCAGTCAGCAGTCAGTCAGCCAGTCATTTCAGTCAGTCGTCATCAGCCAGTCTGCCATTCAGTCCAGTCAGTCTGCCAGTCAGTCGTCAGTCATTCTGCCAGTCCAGTCAGTCAGTCAGTCTGCCAGCAGTCAGGCTGCCAGTCAGTCAGGCTGCAGTCAGGTCAGTCTGCCAAGGGGGGGTCAGTCTGCAGTCAGTCTGCCAGTTCAGTCTGCCAGTCTGTCAGTCAGCAGTCTTTCAGTCAGCCAGTCTGCCAAGTCAGCCAGTCTGTCAGTCCTGCCAGTATGCAGTCCGCCAGTCCTGTCAGTCTGACAGTTCTGCCAGTCAGCAAGTCTGCCAGTCTGCCAGGCTTGCAGTCAGCCAGTCTGCCAGTCCAGCCAAGTCTGCCTGTCAGCCAGTCTGCCAGTGCCAGTCGGTCAGTTGTCGTCAGCAGTCTTGTCAGTCCAGCCAGTCGCCGTCAGCCAGTCGTCAGTCAGCCAGTCTGCCAGTCAGCCCAGTCTGGGGGGGCCCCAAGTCAGTCAGCCAGCTGCCAGCAGTCAGGCCAGTCGCCAGAGCCAGTCTGCCAGCAGTCAGCACAGTCGCCAGTTGCCAGCCAGTCTGCCAGTCTGCCAGTCTGCCAGTTAGCCAGTCAGCCAGTCAGCCAGTCAGCCAGTATGCCCAGTATGCCCAGTCTGCCAGTCGCCAGTCTGCAGTAGCCAGTCAGCCAGTCAGCCAGTCTTGCCAGTCTGCCAGTCAGTCAGTCTGCCAGTCAGTCAGTCTGCAGTTCAGTCTTGCAGTCAGTCTGCCCAGTCGTTATGCCAGTCAGTCTGCCAGTCAGTCTGCCCAGTCAGTCTTGCCAGTCAGGTCTGCCAGTCAGTTATGCCAGTCTGGCCAGTCAGCTCGTAGGCCAGCAGTAGGCTGCAAGTCTGCCAGTCAGTCAGTCGGCCATCAGTCAGTCTGTCGGTCAGTCTGCAGTCTGTCAGCAGTCAGTCAGTCAGTCTGTCAGTCTGTCAGTCTGTCCGTTGTCAGTCAGCCAGTCAGTCAGTCTGCAGTCTGTCAGTCAGCAGTCAGTCAGTCTGCCAGACTGCCAGTCTGCCAGTCGCCAGTCTGGCCAGTCTGCCAGTCAGTCTGTCAGGCCGAGTATGTCAGTCTGTCGTCAGTCAGTCTGCCAGTGCCCAGTTCAGTCAGTCTGCCAGTCTGTCAGTTGCCAGTAGTCAGTCCGCCGGTCAGGTCAGTCTGCCGTCAGTCGTATGCCAGTCAGTCTGCCAGTCCGTCAGTCTGCCAGTCAGTCTGCAGTCAGTCTGCCAGTCAGTCTGCCAGTCAGTCTGCCAGTCAGTCTGCCAGTCAGTCTGCCAGTCAGTCTGGCCAGTCCGTATGCCAGCAGTCTGCCAGTCCGTCTGCCATGCAGTCTGCAGTCGTCTGCCAGTCAGTTGCCAGTCTGCCGCCGTCTGCCTGCCCAAGTTCAGTCTGCCCGTCTGGCCTGCCAGGGCAGTTGCCAGTCAGTCTGCCAGTAAGTCTTGCCAGTCAGTCTGCCAGTCAGTCCTGCCAGTCATCTCTGCCGTCAGTCTGCCAGTCAGGTCTGCAGTCAGTCTGACAGTCAGTATGCCAGTCAGTCTGTATCCAGTCAGTCTGTCTGCCAGTCAATCTGTTCTGCCAGTCAGTCTGTATGCCAGTCAGTCTGTCTGCCATGTCAGTCTGTCTGCCAGTCAGTCGTCTGCCAGTCAGTCTGTTGCCAGCAGTCTGTTGCCAGTCAGTCTGTCTGCCAGTCATCGTATGCCAGTAAGTCTGTCTTGACAGTCAGTCTTGTCTGCAAGTCAGTCTGCCATTCAGTCAGTCAGCCAGTCCGTCAGTCAGCCAGTCAGTCAGTCAGCCAGTCAGTCAGTCGTCAGTATGTCAGTCTTTGTCAGTCTGTCAGTCAAGCCAGTCTGTCAGTCTGTCAGTCTTGCCAGTCTGTCAGTCTGCCAGTCAGCAGTAGCAGTCTGTCAGTCTGCCACTCAGCCAGTCTCCAGTTCAGCCAGTCTGCCAGTCGTGCCAGGTCAGTCAGTCAGTCAGTCAGTCAGTCGGCTGTCGTCAGTCAGTCAGCTGTCAGTCTGTCAGGCTGTCAGTCAGTCAGTCAGTCTGTAGTCTGTCGTCGTCAGTTGTCAGTCAGTAAGTCTGTCAGTCAGTCAGTCAGTCAGTCAGTAAGTCAGTAAGTGAGTCAGTGAGTCGTGAGTGAGTCAGTGAGTGGTGAGGAGTCCGGGAGTGAGTCAGTTTTTGTGAGTCAGTGAGTTGAGTGACGTGAGTGAGTCAGTGAGATCAGTGAGTGAGGGAGTGAGTGAGTCGTGAGTGATGTTGAGGAGTGAGTGAGTGAGTCAGTGAGTGAGTGAAGTGATGTGAGGGGAGTGAATGAGGCAGTGAGTGAACGGAAGGGTGGAGGAGTCAGGAGTGAGTGAGGGAGTAAGTGAGTGAGTGAGTTGAGGAGGAGTGAGTCAGTGGAGGAGTGGTCAGTAGTCAGTTGAGTCAGTGAGTCAGTGAGTCAGGAGCCGTGAGGTGGTGAGTCAGTTGAGTCAGTGCGTCAGTGGTCAGTGAGTCAGTGAGTAGTGAGTCAGTCCGTGAGTCAGGGAGTCGTCAGTCAGTCAGTGAAGTGAGCAGTGAGTCAGGTCGTGAGTGAGAGTGAGTGAGGGGACGGTGAGGTGAGTGAGTGAGTGAGTGAGGAGTGAGTGATGAGTCAGTGAGTGAGTTAGTCAGTGAGTGGTGCGTGAGACAGTGAGTGAGTGAGGAGGAAGTGAGTAGTGAGGTGGTAGGTCAGTGATGAGTGACGTGAGGGAGTGAGTGATGTGAAGGCGTGAGTGACGTGAGTGAGTGAGTCAGTGAGTGAGTGAGTGATGTGAGTGAGGAGTGCGCAGTGAGGAGGTGGAGTGAGTGAGTGATGATTGAGTCAGTCAGTGAGGGGAGTGAGTGAGTCAGTGAGTGAGTGAGTGAGTCGAGAGAGTGAGTGAGTGGAGTGAGTGAAGTCAGTGAGTGAGTGAGTGACGTGAGTGAAGTGAGGAGTGAGGGGAGTGAGTGAGTGAGTGAGGTGATGGTGAGATGAGCAGTGAGTCATTGAGTGATCAGTGAGTCGTGAGTCAGCGAGTGAGTGAGTCAGTAGGGAGTGAGGAGTGATGTGGTGAGGCAGTTGAAGTCAGTGAGTCAGAGTGAGTGAGGTCAGTGAGTCAGTGAGTCAGTGGAGTCAGGAGTCAGTGAGTCATGTGAGTGAGTCTGAGTCAGTCAGGAGTCAGTCAGTCAGTGAGTGCGTCAGTGAGTGAGTCATGTCAGGCCAGTGAGGAGTCAGGAGTGAGTCAGTGAGCAGTGAGTGAGTCAGTAAGTGAGGGGTGAGGTGAGTCAGTCAGGGAGTGAGTGAGTCAGTCAGTCAGTCATCAGGGTGAGTGAGTCATTCAGTGAGTGAGTGAGTCAGTCAGTCAGTAAGTCAGTGAGTGAGTGAGTCAGTCAGTCAAGTCAGTCAGTCAGTCGGTCAGTGAGTGAGTGAGGTCAGTGAGCAGTTGAGTGAGTTCAGTGAGGTCAGTGAGTGAGTGAGTCAGTGAGTCAGGGAGGAGTAGTGAGTCAGTGAGTGAGTGAGTCAGTGAGTCAGGAGGGAGGGAGTCACAGTGAGTGAGTGAGGTGAGTGGTCAGTGAGTGAGTGAGTGAGTCAGTGAGTGAGTGAGTGAGTCAGTGAGTGAGTCAGTCAGTGAGTGAGTGAGTGAGTCAGTGAGTCAGTCAGCAGTGAGTGAGTGAGTGAGCAGGTGAGTCAGGCAGTCAGTGAGTGAGTGATGTGAGTCAGTGGGCAGTCAGTGAGTGGTCAGTGAGTGAGTCAGTCAGATCAGTCAGTGAGTGAGTCAGTCAGGGAGTCGTGAGGGAGTCAGTGAGTGAGTCAGTCAGTCAGTAAGTGGTGAGCAGTGAGTGAGTTCAGGGCGTCAGTGAGTGAAGTCAGCAGTGAGTCAGTGAGTGAGTCAGTTGAGTGAGTCAGTGAGTCAGTGAGTGAGTCCGTCAGTGAGAGTGAGTCAGTCAGTATGAGTGAGAGTTGAGTCAGTCAGTCAGTCAGTCAGTGACAGTGAGTGAGGTCAGTCAGTGAGTGAGTGAGTCAGTCAGTAGTCAGGCATGTGAGTGAGTGAGTCAGTCAGTCAGTCAGTCAGTCAGTCAGTCAAGTGAGTGAGTGGTCAGTGAGTCAGGAGTGAGTCAGTGAGTCAGTGAGTGAGTGAGTCAGTGGTCAGTGAGTGAGTCAGTGAGTCAGTGATGTGAGTGGAGTCGAGTCAGGGAGTCAGTGAGTGGTGAGTAGTGAGTGAGTGATGTGAGTGAGTCAGTGAGTGAGTGATGTGAGTCATGAGTGAGTGAGTGAAGTCAGGATCAGTCAGTGAGTGAGTGACGTGCGTCAGGTGAAGTCAGTCAGTGATGTGAGTGAGTGAGTAAGTGCGTCAGTCAGTCAGTGAGTGAGTGAGTGAGTCAGTGAGTCAGTCAGTTGAGTGATGTGAGTGAGTCAGTGAGTCAGTCAGTCGTGAGTGAGTGAGTGCGTGAGTGAGTGCGTGATGTCAGTGAGTGAATGAGTCATGAGTCAGGAGTGAGTGAGCGAGTCAGTCAGGAGGGAGGTCAGTGAGTGAGTGAAGTGAGTCAGTCAGTGAGGAGTCAGTGAGTGAGGGAGTGAGTCAGTCAGTGAGTGAGGGAGTCAGTCAGTGAGTGCGTCAGTCGTGAAGTGGTGAGTGAGTCAGTCAGTGAGTGAGTCAGTTGAGTGACGTGAGTGAGTCAGTCAGTGAGTGAGTCAGTGAGTGCGTGAGGAGCAGAGAGCGGGTCATGTCAGTGAGTGAGTCAGTGAGTGAAGTGAGTGAGTCAGATCAGTGAGGCGTCAGTGCCGTGAGTGAGTGAGTCAGTCCGTGAGTGAGTCAGTGAGTGAGTGAGTGATCAGCTCAGTGGTGAGTGAAGTGATGTGAGTGAGGTGAGTCAAGTCAGTGAGGTGAGTGAGTGAGTGAGTGAGTGAGTGAGTCATGTCAGGAGTGAAGTCAGTGAGTGAGAGTGAGTCGTGAGTGAGTGAGTGAGTGAGTGAGTGAGGTCAGTTCAGTGAGTGAGTCAGGGCGGATGAGTCAGTGACCGTGGTGAGTCAGTGAGTGAGTCAGTGAGTGAGGTGAGGAGTGAGTGAGTGAGGGAGTGGGTGAGTGAGGTGAGTCAGTGGAGTGAGTGAGTGAGTGAGGAAGTTCAGGAGTCAGTGAGTGAGTGACTGTTGAGGAGGATGTGAGGAGTGAGGAGTGCGTGAGGGAGTGAGGAGTGAGTGAGGAGGGAGTGAGTGAGAGTGCGTGAGTAGTGAGTGAGTGAGTGAGGGTGAGTGAGTGAGTGAGTGAGTCAGTCAGTTCAGTGAGTGGGTCGAGGAGTCAGTGAGTGAGTCAGTCAGTCAGTCAGTCAGTGAGTGAGGAGTCATGCGTGAGTCAGGTGAGCAGTCAGTGATGTGAGTGAGTGAGCTGAGGTGAGGTGAGTGAGTGAGTGAGATGAGTGAGTGAGTGCGTGAGTGAGTCAGTGAGGAGTGAGTGAGTGAG